AAGAGACAGCTTCAAGACACCAGACTGCTTATCTTACTTCCCAGAGGATAAAGAAATGTTACAAAGAGGAAGATATTCTTTCACAGAGGATAAAAGAAATATTACCAGTACAAGAGAAGTCATATTTTCACGGAGGATAGAGGAATGTTGCAAGATAAGGGGGAGAGGGGGGGGAGGAGGCCCCAGGTGTGCTTTGACCTTTAAAACTGATACTAATTGAGAATGACTAATTAAGGAAAGCCACAGGGGTCATAAATTAAGGAAAGGTCCAATTAGAAAGGGTCATGTTCAGACAAAGAGCTGCCAGCATATATAAACTGAAGATAAAGAGATTCAGAACAGGATTTAGATTTTTTCCCATTTTAGAGAAAGAGCAGGCTTTTCCCATTTGGGGACACCTCCCCATTGGGTCCACTTTGTGGACCCCTGATTGGGGGAGTTTGTAAAAAGCTTCTAATAAACTTCCACATTTTTATTTAAAATAATTTAGTCCACTAATTTATTCTTTAAACTTTATGGGATAAGAATCCACAAAGGGAGATTCTGCTTGCCCCAACCCCATGTATCACAATCAACAAAGAATGGTTTAAAAAAGTAGAAACAGAAGCATAGATAAATAGAACAGACTGACAGCTGTCAGATGGGAGGGAAATGGGTGAAAAAGGTGTATGAATTAAGCAAAAATGTGACACAGGCACAGACAGCAGTTGGTGATATAGGAAAAGAGGGGGTGGGTTAAGTGGAAGTGGACAAAGAAGGGACAAATAGGGACTGAAAGAGAATTGACTTTGGTGAGTGCCTGATGCAGTATGCAGATGTTTTGTTGAGTTATATACTTCAAACCATTATAGTTTTATTAACCAATGTCTCACCAATAAATTTCACCTAAAAGGACAACAGGTAACTGAAATTGAGACCTAGTCTTAAAACCTTTAATCCTAGAAGTATCTCTTTTGAAATGAGAAGGGGAAATAGAAAGATCCAATTAGATACACTGTGGGAAAAATTCAAGTTAACAAACGGGTTGAATATTGAAATAGACACAGCTAAGTTAACAAGTGATATTGAAGTAGGCTAAGAAATTCTCAGCCAAAGGAAAAGCAAATGGTATTTTAAATATTAAGACATGGAGTTCCAATAAAAGGTCTAATTTATAGCTCCAAGAGAGAAGAGAAATTGAGAAAAATATCTGTTGTAGCAAATTTTTATAGTATCAAGGATGTAAAAGCTCACTGCAAAACACATCACTTAAAAAGAAAGAAAACTGCCATATTACTAACAGTTTTCACATCAATATAAGTTCTGATCAACAATTGAATTGATACCACTTTCTCTGGGAATTGACCTTTAGACAACTTCATAACTGACATTCCCTTTTGCTTAGACCATATTCCACTTGCTAAGACCATTATCTTTCCCCTCTGGATTTTCCCAGTACCTGGACTGACCCAGAGAGTTCTGTGCCAAAAAAAACAAACCCACCTAGAGTCCTTTAAAACCCCTGACTCCCCAACGCTGGGTGTTGGTGCCATGTTGAGGCTCAGCACATCTGGACTCCCTATAACCTAATCAATTTATAATTCTTTAACACTTCTGGCCTCGTGTGTTTCTCCTTTGGCCACCCTAACATTTGGTGTCAAAACCTGGGAGGGTTCCATGGAAAAGAGGAGACATTGCCCCCACTTGGGGCATCCCAAGTTTGCTACTCAGAGAGCAGTAGGCAGCAGCAGTTCAACCTGGGCTACTGGTACTGCTGAATCATACTCGGGTGACATGATTGCCTGCCTCAATTAGGCCTCCCGCCCCATCCAGCCAAGGAGGGCGCCAGATCAGGAACCTCTCCTTCTGCTTTGCTGACCCTCCATCCCACACCAGCCAATCTTCTCTAGGTGAGTGACATTCCACAATTTCCTTCATCTCCATCCAGTCTTCGGCCCACTTACTCTCAGTAACTTCTCAAAAGTCCTCTGGTCTCAATAGTTCTAGCATTAGGCCAGAAGACTCCTCAGTTATTTGGCCTCTGTTCTTCTGG